TCCAAAAGAAAACATCTGAATACAGTCGGCAAGCGGAGAACCTTACTATGACGTGGAGGTATAAAAGGATAGAAAGGTTTCAAAGTCCTTTATCGGCAAGCGGATCTAAAATTTTGAGTACGGCTGAATTGAAGAGTAATAATTATATTAAATTTAAATATTAGCGGGTGGGTTAAATATAAAAAATGTAAAATTTGCATTAAAAGAATTGAAAAAATATAAATTGTCTTGAACTTCAGTCACCACATACAGACTTAATACTTAACATTACAAAAAAAATTACGGGATTGGTAGGGATTTGTCACAGGTTAACCAATGATTTCGTGTCAAATAGCTCGTGTCAAACTGTTGTTGGCACGGATTTAGCGTGTCGGTTCCAAAATCTCTGCCAATTTTAATTTGAAAAATCTCTGCGAAAAATCTTTATACGTAGTAGTATCATCTCGATCATGTGTTCATAGAGTACCCTCTATAACCCGGTCCGGACGTCCCCATGGCCCCGGCCCCACCCCGAATTGCAAATTAAAACTGCGTCCCATATGGCCATGTGTGTGTATAGTACTCCGTATAGTACGGACTACGGAGTATGATACTCCGTATTGGGGAAGGATGTATGACCATACTAGGCTAATGACCATTTTTGAGGTGTAGCCTGTGCTTCATTTGGGGTTAACACACTTGCATCGAAAATTACTTTATACGAAGCTTTCTACATAAGAGTACTTTACTAAAACTGTTTTGGGTTACAAAGTATATAATTTTATCCTCTAGATTCTGTATCCGGCAAACTTACAGAAGAGCTCGTTATATCTTAGGGGAACGTTTCCGGCTACCGGAAATACTTTCTTTAGAACAGCGTCTGACGCGTCTCGAACACTGTTTTGCAGGACGAATATCTCCAACACTGTATACTATACGATCGATCGTATTACATACACTATTTGCGAGGCACGAAGAAATGCACTCATCAAATGTGGGTTTATGACTTTATGTAGTCGTTAAATTTTAAATGCATGAAAGAAAATTTGAGAAACACGTAGTATAAATATTTTATCAAACGTACTATGAAGTGTAGTACGATAGTATGAAACAAGAAAGAAAAAATAAAGATGCATGGTGGGAAAGGAGTCTAAACCAATCTCGCCTCGTTTTAAAAGTAAATTTTAATTTTAGTCAATTACTCAAACAATATTATGATTTGGGAACATGTTTACTGGCATCTTAAGTCATTCAAAAATGTATAAAAGTTTAGACTGCATCTTAAGTTGATTGATTGAGCTGACTAAAAAAATATCGTGCATATCATAAGTTCATAACGTACTCTTTCTTTGGAAATTATAATGGAATAATGAAGCATACTTTAAAATTGGTACGGTTATACAAATTTGGTGAACAGTAATTATATTAGGAATGTTGCTGAGACAATATTCTGAAGACTCTATCTAAGCTATATTAAACAAATAAACAGGATTTTATCTGAAATGTTACTATAGTGAGGTCTTTTTAACAAAGAAGCGATTGTTTTTACATATGAGCGATAACGTGCCTTACACCTACAGTAATGAAATTAGAAAATTATGCGGAGTACTTGTTTGTGCGGTTTATCATATTGAGCGTGTTTGGTAGCATCAAAATCGGCTGATTCTGGTGAAAATTATGAAGTTCTGACTGAAGTTGCTTCATGGCATGATTGATTCTACTTATTTAAGAAAAAATAATTTTTAAAATATATTTTATTAATACAATAATGAAAAAGTTATATGTAAAAATAGTTAAAATGGTCATCAACAGTAACTTCAGCCAATACAAAAAAAAAGTAAATCCAACATTACTTTTTCTTGTTATTACACAATTCAGTGCGCGAAAACAAAAATTACTTTTTTGGTAAAAAAAGTTGGCCGATAAGCCTGATAAACCGAAAAACAATGTTACCAAACGGCTTCATAATTAACTTGCAGTTTTTTATTTGTCAGTTTATTGTGTCACATCTCCACATTAATTACTAAGTCACTTGCCGTTCTTTCAAAAAGAACATGTACTAAAAGGCTTGTAACGCTTGTAACGTGTTTGGAATTGATTTTGATTCTGTTTCTTTTTTAAAGTAGAAGCGGACTCGGAATCAGTTTTCAGAAGCTGGTCTCCCCCAACGTCTAAAAAATCTGATTCTAGAAGTAAATTAGAGCACCAGAATCATTTTTTCTACTTTCATCAAAACACTCTAACTTCTGTTTCTGCTCCCTGAAGGAGCGGAAGCAGTTTTAAGAATCACCCCATATAAGACTTTCCCGTTGATTGTGTGGTGAGGAAATGACTATTAGGATCATGTGGAGCGACGTGCATGGCACGCTAGCTAGCTTATCTAAGCCGCAATCAGATTAATCTATACCAAACTTTAGTGCATCTTCGATGGGATATGAACGTATCGGCTATGTAAAGCCAAGCTAAGGGGTCTTTGTCCCATAACTTAAAACTCTCAAAGTCAGCATTTCACATCCACCACAATTGTACTCCTCATAAACTTTTTATCTTTTTTGGAGGTCCAAATTAGAAATTCTCATTTTTATTTAAGAAATAATTTTTTACTCTTAGAAGGCAATTTACTCATCGTTACAATTATCATGAATGAACTCATTCCATTATACAGAGTGCTTTATACCCATCAAATTACTTCTCAAAATACACTAGATTAACCTTATTTAATTATTGTATAAACCATCGTGTCAATGAGAAGTTTAAACTGCAACCAAATTACGTAAGCAATGTTGTTTATGAAAAGCATCCTAACCTTTTATCTCCTACATATAGAGCTGTTTGTTTCCCTCATCTCTGTCATTTACATCATTTACTTTGTTATTTGTCAACATCTTTTACCGCGAATGGAAGTTTTTATTGCAACATGTCAACAACTATTGCGGTAGTAACAGCTTTGTTTTTTGTCAACATTTCTTGCCGTGTGTAATAGGTTTCCCCCAACCATCAACCTCGTCAACAGTATGTGTTTTGTTTTTGCCAACTCACCTATACAGCTAATTCAAATATTTACATTTGAGAATATAAATCTAGAAAAATACTTGGTTACATAAAATGTGTGCACTTGTCTGTCGTTCGCATACAAGTTGTTTGTCACACATAGCTTAATATGAATTGTCTGTGACAGACAACTTATCTGCAAAGGACAAATAACTAAATAACTCATAAATTTATTCTACTCTCCCATTTTCATTACAGTTCATTTGATAACTAATGATGGGCAAGTCGTTTGATATTCTAGTATTGGTCATTTGTTTGAGTGGAATTACGCAGGACATTTCGAAAAAGTGCATCAGATCCGGTTTAATGCAACGTGTATCAGATAAGGACTATTGTGCATCAGATCGCAAAATTAAAGGGCTCAAATTGATTCTCATTTTACATATCAAGACCTCTTTTATTTGAGTCAAACTCAATATGTGTGTGTGTGTGTATATACCATGGCGGATCCAGAAATTTGGAGTTATGAGGTCCCTACAATTTAGAGTTATGAAGCCCAGCCCGACTCGGACCTGCTGGCAACCCGGGGCCTTCCCCCAATCCATGCCTAAATACAAGTATGAAAGTTTAAAACACAAAAGGTAATCGATCCAGGGGTGGCCTCGGGCCGGTTCGGACCCGGTTCGGGCCTAGGCCTGACCGTGCCTTGGCTTAGAAAAATGAGGCCCAAGCCCGAACCGGTGGTGGGCGGTTCCGGGTCCGGTTCCGGGCCAGACCGGGCCGGCCACCCGGATTTTTAATTTTTTTTTCTTCTTCTCTTATTTAACCCCGTACCCCTACCCCTCCACTCCAAACCACCTCAAATGGCCCAAAATACCTAATCCGACCCAAAATTTTAAAAAATTTCAAAAAAATAAATAAATTCCAGCCCGAACTGGCCGGGCCAGTTCACCAAAACATAGGCCCGAGCCCGAACCGCCCAAAGGCCAGGCCGGTTCAACCCGAACCGCTGGGCCCACCGGTTCCCGAGCCGGGCCGGGCTCAACAGTAACCGGGCCGGGCCGGGCCGGTTCCGGGCCGGGCCACCCGGCCCAAGTCCATCCCTATATCGATCCCTATAAGGCTGTACCACGAATCTGCGATGGAGGAAAATATTTCAACTTCCCGCGTAAAAGCCATTCATTCAGCTACTCAATTCTATTTAATCTATGGTTGCTTTTCTTGTATATATACATTTACTAATTCATTTTATACGGAGTATGAAATATGTATAATATATATTGGTATTTTTTGAAAGTCCGTGGGATCCAGGGACCCGTGGGATCCTTAATGGGTCCACCACTATATATGTGTGTGTGTGTGTGTGTATATAAAAGAAATCACAACCGCATAATTGCATAATCCACGGGAAAGGAAACATGGGAAGGAAAATAAAGGAGTAAGTGAGATCAACACACTATGCACATGGTGAGTGGATGTCACGGTCTAATTTGAGCATAATCACATTGATCAATTCCAACCGGACAGACCCTGGACCAATTTTGGGAGAATCGATATATGTATTATGGATTGCCAAGTCTCAATAGATTATCTCACCATAATTTTGACTGAAGCTCAATAATTTCAATATGTATATCATACATGCTGATTTACCGTGCACAGCATACATCCAAACAATGAAGTAAATATTTCACTAATACAAATCTATGATCTTCTATATTCAAATGAGTGTTGTACGAAATGAAAAGTTGGCAAAAAAATGGCCACTTCAAAATGAACAATCTTTAGGCACAAAACAAAAACGTTAAAACAAAGTTGCCATACATCAGTATGTATCTTATAATTTTCCCTGTAATCCGCAATCTTACAAAGTTGCTGCACATTTTTTTTTAAATTGTGGACATACTTATCACAGATAGGAGTTTATTTTAAGATTATGAGTAAATGTATGCAGCAGATAAATTACAATGGAGTATAATAGCCTTTATAATCTCTTACTCACAAGCCGATACATGGATTATGGGTGCTTAATTTGAATAGGAATTCAACTTACGTTTATAGGACAATCAAATAAGAGAATATTTTAAACACACTAGTATGATTGTCTCTCAAGTCTAAACACACCTGTGGATTTTAACAAGACTGTTAATGGAGGATTTACCATTTCAAAAAAGCATCAAAAACATCACTTTCATTTGCAACCAATTGTAACAGTTTGCACTATTTGCAAACAACGATCATCATTGCATAATCACTATAAAATGTTATAAAAGCACTTAGAACCCTCACTATGGGCATAATAGAAACCAAAGGGATCGCAGCCAGAATCTTTATACCTCTAACGACTCTAAGGCACTACACATTACTGGCTAGTCCGGAATAGGAACTGGTTGGTATCGACCCTTCAAGATATTCAGCAACTTGAACCCAGCTTTACGCATGAAAAAATAAGACCAGCGAGCCCTGGTTGGAAAAAAGTTTGCAATTTTAGAACCAATGCAAGATAACCTATCACAAAATTACCTCGCACGGGAACTAAACCATAAATTAAAATGTACTCGCATAGAAAATCTCCCAACTAAATATGTTTCTCTAGAAAAATTGGTAACAAGAGATAGTTTACAACTTCAAATTAGTTATCACCCTCTAAGTTCACGAAGCAGGTTCAACATGTCCTCGAGCCTTCCCAAAGATGGATCTGCATTTTAGGTTCCACAAAAAAATAAAATCAACAAGCTTATAGTTCCAGTGAAGTAAGAAAGTAATGAAGGTTCAAAACGTACCACATACAAAGTATATCTCTCGTTTACCTCCTCTTATAACTTTGGCACAGTTTTAAGACAGTCATGACTCGGTTAATATTTGTTCATATGCGAGAAATTGCAGAATTATTTCTTTAAAAATAAAGTGCAGATAGTTAAAACTAAAAAAGGGTGCAACACTTTTTATTAAAAGGGTTGTTTGGTAATTTAACATAAATTTCCCAGAGCTAAAAAAGTTGGTTGTTTGAATTTCATTATCACACGATTAATAACAAAATTAATTTGTCTTTTTGGGGAGGCCTTATTTGGATTTGGTTAATCCAAATAAGGCATCTCTCAAAAAAGACACCATATATACATACAGAGATGAAACATATTCAAATTTAGTTAAAGCATTTTGCTTTAAATGTTTAACCACAAGAAACCATATACATACAAACATTGACTAGTATAAGAAGCATATTTTAACATGTCAAATACAAAACTACAAATAATCTGTTGAAAGATAACCAACAGTGAAAATATTAGTGTAGATTGAACAACCAACTTACCCGCATGTTGAACACTGAGGCTGATGCTTGCAGAAAATGGACAAACAAACAGAGCATATGTAACCCATGTCAATCGTGTTCTTGTGGCAAAAACACCTGAATTTGGTTTGGCAATTTTCACTAATAAATTACAAGCTTTAATGAAAGAAATCAACTAAAGAAATTGTTAAAAATAATTTACAATATTGAAATAAAAATTTAGTGGATGGGAATTAGAATTGCATAGCTTGAAGAAATGAATGTGGAAAAATATATAATCTACTTCATGTTGTTAGCAACTTACGAAGCACGAAAGTCAACCCCCATAGGCCGAGGAAGATGTAGAAAGGCACGAGAATGCAAATCAGTAGCAAAAACTGTCTGCATGTTTCAAACAAATTAGTAATTAGACTTTTAAAAAAGAGTAATTCCTGAAAACATAACAAGTGGACATTCTGAGGAGACATCCTAGTGGCACATTGATGGCGTGATAAACACATGTCCAACTTTCATCATCCATTTAGTGTGTTGCATATCAATGTTACCCTTGAAAGTCAAAATTTGATGTGTCCCAACCATACTCTTCCAAAAATAATTTTACAAAAACTGCATAATATTAAGGAAACTTATAAAACAACTCGGACATCCTTACTAACTTGTAAATCAAGCGTTTTTTATTTCAAAAACTCAGTATAAGAGGAATTGACATGAGCGAATGCAAAAGATTGATGAAAAAGTAAGGACTTCACGCAAGCTGCCCAACACAACGTCATAACGATAATAAGGTGTGTCAGGAGAGTCACAGAAACACCTACATGAGATGAGAAATTTAAAATCAATAATAGACATTCGGGAACCAAGAAGAGAACTTTACCGAAAGGTATTGAAACAGTCCATCCAATAATTGGGGCTTCAAATATACACCATTAGTTATGTATGAAGCCTGTTAGTATTAACCAATATGTATCATCATGAATAGTGTGGCCACCAATTAAATTCCACCAGAAGATGATGTTACATTAATGAGTATGTCAATTTATATATAGAATAAACTTCATATCAGGCCACAGGAATCCCGTCAGACCAACTTTGGTTTTGGCAAAAATTGGAGTTTATAATCCATTTTTTTGTTTATTAGTATCAATTAGTAGTTTCAAACATTATACCATAAAAAATTTTAAAATTTTCTGAGCATAAATTTGATTTTTATGATGAATTAATATTAATCATTAGGTAAATGTTAGAAACTTAGAGGTGAAAAAGTGAGCTTGATGGGTCTACATTTGAACCAAATTAAGATCAAACAGTTAAAACTAATAATTGATACTAATGAACAAAAAAATAGATCCTAAACTTCACTTTTGACCAAAATCAAAGTTGGTCTGATAGATTCTCATCAGAGCGACCTGATATGAAAAGCTACTCATGTAGGGGCAGGTAAAAAGTAGTGCTTCATTGGAAAGTGAGAATAAACCTTGGCTTTTAATTTTTTTAAAATGGATGGATTAGATGAATTTTTAATCAAATGACACAGAGGCAAAATGCAAATGTTCATAATACAAAGTGGATAGTTTATAAATAAAAGTGCACTCATGAATGCTAAATAATGATTATCATATTTTCAAACTTAAGCATATTTAAATTTATATTCTTATGCACTTTTGTTCACATCAATGTCGAAGATTAGTTCTTATTTTTTTATTTCATACATGTATATTCTGATATACTTTTTTTACAATATATTCATTTAAATTGCTTGGTAATTACTAAAATGTCACTACGATTTTTACTAAAATGCTTTAAAATCATATCTCCCCCACCCATTTGTTCACATCAATGTTCAAGATTAGTTCTTATTTTTTTCACCCCGAAAGCACTTTTTTTAACCAAAGTTATATATATAGACACACACACACACACATATACATATATAAAACAAAAAGAATCAGTCCATCCGGATGGACAGGAGGGGCCGTCCGGCCGCCGCTTGGGGCAGTTCCCAGTGGAAGTTTTTGATGATTTTTTTTAGAATGATCCTCATCAAGTCTAGTTTATCCACACAAAATTTCAGCTAAAAATTAAATCGGAAGGAAGTCAAATAAATTTTTGAAAATAACTGCGTTTATATGCATATTTTTGTGCAGTCATCTTGAATAAATTATTTGACTGTCTTCCCGATCGAATTTTTAGCTGAATTTTTGTGTGGACAGACTAGACTTGATGAGAAACATGCTAAAAAAAATTCATCAAAAAATTCACTGGAAACCGCCCCAAATGATGGAGGGTCCTGTCCCTCCGGCTAGACAGAATCATTCCTCTCTCTCTCTCTCTCTATATATATATATATAGGGAGCGGATCAGGTGAGAAGTGCCCTTAGACTGAGAAGCTGCGAAGTTAACTTATAAGCAAAAAACACGAACTTTTAACCAATAAATCATAACTTATAGACCCCCTCAAAAATAATTACGAAAATGCCACCGCGTCAAAAAAAAATTCCAGGTTTCCAGAGTTATTTTGACGCGGTGGCATTTTCGTAATTTTTTTTGAGGGGGTCTATAAGTTATGATTTATTGGTTAAAAGTTCGTGTTTTTAGCTTATAAGTTAGACTTCGCAGCTTCTCAGTCTAAGGGGGACTTCTCACATGATCTTCTCTCTCTCTCTCTCTATATATATATATATATTTATATATATATATTCAAGTATTAGTGTTCTAGTATTCATTCTTGTGAGGAAAAATAATAGTCTTCACTTCATCTATATATAATACCTGCTGCAAGAAAGCGGAATGCTGGGTCCCTATGGCACATGAATCAATTGGTACCTGCAAGAGAGTTTTTTCATATCATACTACTGAAAGTAGATTTTGCCCTTGCCCCACGGCCCCCGCCCCACTGCCCACCCCAACCACCAGTCCATTACCACCACAAGAGACCTCGCTTCACTTGGAAGTACCAGTATCTCAATTAAATTAATTACTAGTATAATTTATTTCAAATTAGTTTCATGAAAAATTCAACATACCAAATACCAAATGGCAAGCTCAAAATAAGTTTTCTTTACACAGTTCAAATTTGATTTTTACATTTTTGTTAAAAAAAAAATAAATATTAAGTGTTACATTTGTCTTTAAGTCTCATTACCCATACACACATACAGTGATATTACTGATATACACATACCTGATACATATATACAGCATGTGTGTATACAGGGAGATTTTTTTAGTTAAATTATGTGTACATATTAGGAGCACCGAGCACCCCCTCAAGAATGCTTCTTGTTTGCCACTGCCTACTCTATCTCTACTTTTCTCTCTTATCTCATTAAGTACCAATTAAAGATTATATTCTACCTACATCCTGATCAAGTGTGCAACCTACAATGAACTTCAAATCCAGACAAGAGTACCGAAGAACAAACCCCTTCATAAAATCTCTTTAAGCTTTAAGGTAATGAAAGAGACACCAAGTTACCATTGAGCGCTGAGCAGAGAATATTGAATTCATGATGGCCACATATCTGGCAGAGATAAAAACTTTTTAAGTATAGAAGCAAGAATAGGGCTAGTGTTTACTCGACAAAATACCACAAGACACATACTGTCCTGGTCCATCTGGGGATCCATGGATGCATAGTATCTGCCGTCAATGAAGCTTGCAGTTCAGAAGCACTAGAAATTATAATATACAATTGAAAAAGGATAGAAAAAACACCAGAAGAAGAACCTAACATGAAGGGGCCTTTGTCATTATGGTTTTAAAGAATGAAAAACTGAACTTCGAACTGATAACTGAAGTCAATTTTGCTCATGTTATGTTCAGTTACTTTCGGTCGGGTTTTGTGGGTTTTGGGTCTTTTTAGGTTTAGCTGGTTCATGAATCGGTTTCACTTTGGGATTCTTTTGTTCAATCTTACTATGTATACCTTTTCATCATAGGGAAATAACTGCACTATGCATAACCATATTTGTTGACAAACTGATAAGACAACCCAGCTTTCATATGTATGAAACTACAAATACTATATACATAGGCAACATATATAAGGCTAGTTGCATAAGGTTTGTGTTTAAAATGTATGTGGGGACACTGTTTTATACTACTACTATTTATTAAGCTGCAGAAGCCAGTAAAAATAACACAAAAAATTGTAGAGCATGTAATAAGTTTGCAACTACTAGTCCATAACACAGGTTAACGTAATAGGTGGTTGGCTGGGTCGATATTAAAGTGCGGAAAAAAAACAAAAAATAACATTAGTTGTCTTGATTGAATCCTTTTCTGTTAATCTTTGACAGTTTTGGTTAATTTTGATCAATTTTAAAGCCTAAACCATTAACTACAAACCAAAGTACTCATACTTATCTCAGTTTTGGCCGGTATAAGTTGCTTCAGTTTCAACTAATTTTGGCGTGACAGGATATTTTCAGCTCTATAATGCAACTAAAAATCCTCTCCCTCAAGTTCATTTTCATTCTTTTGGCTTGGTACTTAGTAGTGGTTGTCTGTGGGTAGACCGTAGATACTTGACTAAAGATTAAACAAGAAACACCTTTCATAAAGGGATACATCTGCACGACGACTGCACCATTTCAGCATACCAAAAGAGCCTTGCAAATTACTTTCATTTGGCCAGAAATCAGCATTTAAGTCAATGAAAACTCACCCTGGGCTGAGGATGGAGTGGCCCTGCACGAAGCATCCTTTGTATATCTACACAACACCGCTCAAGTCCAACAACTAAAAAACACATTCTGGATACGAGGGCATACTTGAAAGTGCAATGTAGAGAACAAATAGTAAAAAATTATCATTTCTCACATTAAGGACTCTGCACCATTTATATATTAATAAAAAACAGATCACATTTATTGAAGTACTTAGTGAGTACGCAATAAGAGCATAAGATTATTACACTACACACATGTGTGCATCTTTTATCAGTTTATGGAAACAAAGTTATAATAACATTTGGTGAGTAAGCATTGACTGCAAAAGATTAATACAATATGTGTGTATGTGTGCAAGTTAATAATTATTGAATTTAATAATGGATACAACAGAGAGCCATTGAAAGTGATCCAGAGAGAAGCGAAGATTGAACCACGTCAACTGAATCTTCCTGACTCAATGACTCATCTTTTTCCACAAACTCTTCCAATTTCTCCAACATGCATTCTGCCCTTTGGTTTGAGGGGTCAGAGGAATCAAATATATAGTCACAAGAATTGTACCCAGTGGCTATGACTACTACTTGATTCAGCTTGTTCAGTAACAGTATTGAATTCAAAAATGGGATAACCTACAAAAGAATTCCGCAAAAGTGAAAAAGGGGGAAAATACTTATGTGTGTGAAAATGTATTTGCAAAAGAGGAAACAATTTTAAACTTTCAATGTTATATGGTTACATGAGATAGGAGCTTTGAAAAAGTAAAAGAGCCACTATGCTTCATCGAGCTCCAGAAGAACGGGTTGGTGTCAATCAGCACCATCACTAAGCTTACATCATCTGGCAATTTCCAAGAATTGACAAGATATCATTCAAGAGAGTATATTTGGGTATTAGCATTCTTATAGCTAAAAGCACAATAGAATATTAAGACAATTTTTCTATGAGAAGGCCAGTCCCTGTGATGGTGTGACCCATCACTTTAAGACTAAGAGCCCATTTTGTAATCCACATTTTCAGCTTGTAAGCCATATCAGCCAACTTTTTTACCAAACGCGTAAATTTTGATTTCATGTGTTGAATTGTATAATAATAAAAACAAATAAGGTTCAACTTACTTTTCTGACTGAATTGACCGAAGCTATTGTAAAAGACCATTTTATCTATTTCCATACATTTATTCTTTATTTTATTAATAAAATGTGTGGTATATTTTAGATATAATTATTCCAAAATTCAACAAATTCAGCCGCTTCGGCCAGAATTTCATCAATTAAGCCAATTCAGCCAATTGTAGTGCTACCACACGGGCCCTAATAGCTTTTACAAGTTATGAATTGTCTTATACGATAGAATAGGCCTAATATTTATTACCAATATTGTCTAGAGTAATTGAATTAACTCATTTTCCAGTTCACAAAAAATGCTCAAAAGTCAAAATACTCTAATTTCAGTCCATAGTTTTTTAGTCGAGATGGATAACTCTCGTGAACTGAGCTCTGTCGACCGCCTTCTAAGGTTTTGATAGTTTCATTGCATGTGTGAAAAAAAGAGGAAATATACAAGAAAACCTGTGTATAGCTTTGATGATACTGGGAAATCAATAATAAATTACAATTAAATAATTCCTAGTTCAAATTACAACTAAATATGTCTTGAAAAGTGATTTTTCAAAGCAAACAGTATTATGTATTAAATTATGCATTATTTATGCCCTTGCCAAGATAATGGAGTGAATAGTAATCCATGAAAAGAAACAATTCATTACTCAATGAGTCATTTGGCATCTCCAATGCACCTCCCCAACCTGTAGTTATGGGCTTATGGCTCCAGTACCATCAAAGCTATATACAGGTCTCCTTGTATATCATTTTTTACACATCCAATGCAAGTATAAAAAATTATACAAAGGTACTGTCCATTCCAAGAGTCCAGATTGAAATTGGATTTTAAAGGCCGATAGTAGCAGGCTAGCAGCGGGAACCGATTCAGCCTAAGTATGGTTCAAGTTCTACATATATGCTACTGGAACAGGCAGTTCTGGTCCGGTCCTGGTTCAACGTTTTTTATATGTTATGAATGTTGAATATATTATTTAATTATTAATAATAAAATGTACGGAGTAAATATTTTAATATGATATATATGAGGTTTCAGTTGAATTACTAAAATATTCATAGTATACTTTACATATTCAGGGTATATAATAAATGTACTTATAATTATGTATATTAAAATATTAATATGTTTGTGACATGTTTATATATACATACTATCGTATGTCATATGTTTTCATAACAATAAAGCTAAAACAATTAAACTCAAATTTAATGGCTAGTCTGCTACATGATAAGAGGGAAGCTATAATACTGATAAAGATAAGATATATTCTAGGCAGTTGAGCTCTAGTCAGTATAAATAAGTTAAAAAATTAAATGTAAAAGCTGCTGTTTAAAGCAACATCTCATGAGCAATTAAACGGAAAAGAAGCAAAACAGGCTGCAGCAGTTAATCAAAAACTAAGCAAAGAGAAGAACAAAGGCGAAATCTTTGAAACACGAAATCCGAAAGGCCCAAATCTTATTTCTTAAATTCTAACAGCGAATTATATTACATATACGAATGGTAATAATGAACATGAACATCTTTAGAATGAACCAGTGCATTAGAGGGAGGGGTTAACCGTCATTTCGGCGTTTGAAGGAAAAACGGTCCATCTGAAAGTCAAAGTTTTTGGTTCCAAGATGGACATCAGCGGCGAACATCGTCTGAGTGTCGTCCTCCTTTGCTGAAATCACTCTACGATGCTGCGGCGCCGCAGTAGCCTTCCTGATTTCATCACTACGAAATATGCCAGACCAGTTGTGTTCATACAATGTAAACAATTATATTTAAATATATTTAAAATGTCACAGGTTGGAATGCAAGTCAAATATAAAAGATGGGTAAGACATGAGTGTATTTTCATGAATTCGGAAGTTATATAATTTTTTTTATTACAAAAACTAATAAGCTCCAAATGTGTTGTGCAGATCTATTAATTAGTGATGATATGGGCAGTTTCTTTTTGCAGGTTATGTTTATTCTTAAAAAACTGGAAAAAGCAACGAGTGCCACAAGAAGCATCCAAAACATGGGGTTATTTGATACTAAGGTTTTATAAGTTACTTTTAATGATCAAGAGTTATCATATTCAGTTTTTAGTGTTGGATGATTTGCCCAAAAATATAAACATATTTGAAGCAAATAAGTCTTGCTGAAATAATAAAAATGATAGTGTAATGAGATTCATACTTGCCTTTGTAGCTGCACAAACTGCAAACCAGCATATCCTATTTTAAACTAATGAATAATTACATTTTCCTTACAAATATTACATGATTAGGAACCTTATTAAGGTCCCAGAACCTATTAATTATACATTTTCTATAAGATAATCTAATAAGTAAAAATAAAAATAAAAAAACACATCTCGGACAACCAAACCTGCAAAATATATGGCAAATAAGATGTTGAAATAAATAAATGTTAATTACAATTTTACAAATTAAAAGACATGTATTTCAAAAACATTTAAGCATTAATGCCTTAAGCAATCTGATATGAAGCAGAACAACTTCTTCCTTGCTAAAAACTCTTAACACATTCAAATTAGCTGAGTTCGATAAAAAAAACAGTGAACATGTTTCTTAAAAATTGTCACTTTATCCGTTTATAGAGTAAAACAAACACATCTATCTTTTTAAACAACGTTTAAACCTTTTTTTTTTTTGAAAAGATGTGTAAAGAGTATTAGATTTGTGCACGAAACAAGGAAAAAATGAAACCGTTACTCTTAAGAGTATGTTTGCACTTCAACTTTTTGAGCATATTTATTTTGGCCTTAAATAAATAAGGCAGGAAAACTAAATTGCTCTCAAGTTACTCAGTTTATGTATATACACATAAATGAGTTTTTTGTAAATATGCATAACTTACAAGCATTAATAGTAGTGATAGTCATGAATGAGTTTTCTTTTACATGTATAAATCAATAAACGAATCCACTCAAAGACATTAATAAAAGCATTACAAGCACTGTATGAGTTCTGCCGATTTTGTTTAGCTGTACTGAATTTGAACAAAACACAACAAGGGCAGCCAATGCAGATAGAAATGGTGTGTGGACTATACAAGGTCCACATGTGCTCCTAGGGCTTCTAAGATACCAGACACCTCTAAGGGAGGTGCCAAACAGCTCCAAGGGAGGACAAGGGCTAGAGAAATGGCTTTTGAAGAAGAGGAAATAACATTTACAAACAATGTTTATAAGTTTCCAGATTGTAAAAGTAGTGTTATTTAAAAATCGGTTTTGCATGATAACCATTTTGAACAGATTTGTTCGTAATTTTACAAAAAGCTGAGCTTTATTTTAAAAATCCTAGATTTTATTTCAAAATATTTAAACTGGTGCTATGTAATAGATACATATCACATACAACCAGAAGCTATTATTTACAACAACTAAAAACTAGGTCATATGTATATTATATAAAAAAACAAAATAGAGTTCAGATTATACTTATCATAGCAGCCAAGGTCGAGATCCCACTCCGCTAGACAGGGCGTATACAACGAATGGCAATCTGAAGTCAGTCAGTTGGAAATAAGCCGGAGGATCCGATTCACAGACCACGGTGCAGTGAGTCAATTGGAAATCTGAAGACTTCCACACAAAATTGTTTTACAAAGACAATCGGATAAAGTGATGACTCTTTGTTATCGGTTTATAGCGTAGACCATTGCTTTTATTGAAAACAGCAATGGAGGCTTGGACTTAGAGAGGGTCGACGATTATGGCTGGACTACGAGTACTGGAGGGCGGCGATTGAAGCCGATGTCTCTCTGCCGGATCTAGAGTGAAGCCGGAGGCGGCGATTGAAGCCGAGGTCTCTGCAGGATTTAGAATGGAGTCGTTTAAAGGTCGGGTTTGGGTATAGAGAGTTTATATTGTTAGGGTTTCGCATTTGGGTATTTGAGTATTTGGGTTGTGGGTTTTAAGATTAAAATGTGTTATTGTGTTGGGTTTATCTGAATTTAAATGGGCTGATGGCTGACCATCTTGAAGTTAAAATCTTTAATTTTTTTTATCAAGAAATGATCCCAAAAACATATGAGAAATTGATAAATTCAATTTTTTTTTGTAAATCTCTTCATTACATTTTGAAAAAATTGATAAGACTAATCCCATCTTTCACTGGTCTTCTCATAATAATCTCACCTTTACGTAATCCAAAAATAATCTCACCTTTGCATCACATCTTCTTTCATTGGATCCTGACCTATTGATGACCTACAAAGGTGAGATTATTTATATAAGATTTTCAAAAAAAGGGTCCAATGAAAGAAGATGGGTGCAAAGGTGGGATTATTCTGGGATTACGTATAGGTGGAATTATTATGAAAACATCAGTGAATGATGGGATTATTCTTATCAATTTTTCCTTACATTTTTACATTTTTGAAATAATTTCGTTAAAATAGCATATTTATTTATAATTACACTTATATACTATTGAATGAAAGTATATCTAATTTATGGGATATACAGTGTGGAACTGTGGACTTAAAATAAATTGTGGAGTTATATCGACATAAATAGATGTAATTCCGTCAAAGGGTAATGCAGTTGAAGGTGCACTTATTATTGTTTTATTTAGTGAATTAACTTATTATTTTTCCGATTAGGAAATGTGAGTGTCAAAAAGTACTTATTCCACGATTAACACCTATTTCTTCCGATGTGAGAATACCTTTCAAGTTTCAAAGTCAATCTTTTGTTGCATGTTGAACTACTATTAAACACTATTTATTCATAATACTACTAATGTTGTTTGCAAATAAGTGTTTCAAAATTTGTAATTTGTTCCTCCGTTGCAGTGGTTATTTTGTGTGCTTTCGAATCATTGTAAACATTAATAGAAAGCTTTTCACTTTTTTATTACTATGTAGCTTCGATCTCTTTTCACTTTTTTATTATTATAATAATGTTCTCAGTCTTGGATGTTATTACGTTGATATATTTTTTAAATGATTTGATTATATTTTGTCCCGTGCATCGCACGGGTGAGAATCTAGTGGTGTACAGGGCCGAAGAATACTCGCATAACTTTCACGCTCATCATTTTGTAAGGGAGAGTTTCTTGATATAATAGAAAAGGAGTTCATTGTTCAATACATTTGCCCATATTATTATCTGAATTTCTTCTTTTCTATTTATGGATGAAGTTCATTTTGTAGCTGATCCTTTATCACCATCATTTGGGACCAACAACTGGTATCAAAGCCGATCGAGTGAAGATCATCTATGAAAAACTGCAAAGAAATGCTTGGTTTTATTTTTTTCGATATTTATGCATTTTAGCTCGCGTAATCTTGTTTTTTATCGAATCATTATAAAAGATATACTGTTGAAAACCGCCTCTTCGAATTGATCAAACAATATATTATTATTTTCGATTCCTGCATTTTTTCGAATTTTGATTTCACGATATCATAGTATCGAAAAAACAGATTTCTCGAGCTTTTGGGAGGTTTTTCGAGTTGAAATCATTACAGGTCATTTCTCAACAAACAGGTTTTCGCAGCTGGAGTTTTCGATCTGCAGATTTCAGAATTTTCTAAGTACATGATCTCGAAATGATTTTTCAATATCAGTTTCTCGATAGCTAGTTTGCGATATTCGATTTCTCAAATTGTGTTTTCGATATACAGGTTCTCGAATCAGCTTCTCGATACTCAGGTTCTCGACAATGAAGTTCTCGAACTTGATTGCTTGGTAGCAAGTTTTCGAACTCTGTTTCTCGAAATCGAGTTTCTCGAACTCATATATCGAAATCCAATTTCTCGATAAGCTTTTCTCGAACCTCAGTTTCTCGAACCCAAGTGTTCGAAGTCTAGTTTTCGATACTCTGTATTTGAGTCTTGATTCTTTGTTAGACATCTGATCAAACACTCGACGGTCAATTCTTGGAGAACGGAATGGACGCTTTGTGACTTGGAAACGAAAGTAGACCCCCGATCCTAAAAAGGAGTGAGTATCTGATGTGGAAGAATCGTTTTCTGAACTTTCTGGAAATCAAAGACAACTCTTCAGCTATGCTTGAGTTTTTGAACGATGGACTAGCTGTGTTCTGGATAACAGTTGGAGGAGAAGGAAGAAATAACCCCCAATTGAGAAGTTAGAAGATTGAAGACAGAGCTGCTCTGATGTAGATATCCTAAGAGACAAAGCTAATCTGATGTAGATAGGCTAAGAGACAAAGCTGATCATATGACGAAGACGTACCGGCTTCAAGCTATCCCCAACGATATTTATGTTCTGATTGACAGTATGGAAACTGCAAAAGAAATGTGGGATGAGGTGAACAAGCTGATGCAAGGAACTAATCTTGGACTGCAGACTAAGAAGGCCCGCATTCTTCTGACTGCTTATGATGCTTTCAAAGCTAAGCTTGGTGAACCGCTCCATGAAGCGTATGACAGATTCATGATGTTGATAAATGACATGAGAAAGATCAAAGTGATCAAATCAAAACATGGAATTGATAAATGAGCATTAGTGTTTGGTTAATTAGCAATAGTCCAATTTTAATGAATATTAAGCGTCTAATAATGAGCACCGTGTTATTACAAGAAAGCTGATATCACAACTAAAAACGGTGGCATTTTCGTAATTTCAGTGAAAATCGCGGTTTTTCGTTATATGAGCATTTATACGCTTTTAATTAGCATCGGCCGTATTCTGCTGAGTATTAGGAGCCTAACAATAAGCATCGTGATTTCTGGTTCATATCTTCTAATTCACTTTCTTTTTCTTATTTTTCTTTGGCTAAAGGGTCAAATAGGTACATGAACTAACTTAAAGTGTTCAATTAGCCCCTTATATAGGAGGTTCTGCCCGGACGTCGCCAATTGGGGCTGTTCCCGGTGGAATTTTTTGATGAAATTTTTTGAGCATCTTCTTTATTAAGTCTAGTTTACCCATACCAAATTTCAACTAAAAATTCAACGGGGAAGGCAGTCAAATGATTTTTTGAAGATGACTACGCAGTTAAACAACGCAGTACATTTCAGAAAATCATTTGACTGCCTTGCCGATTTAATTTTTAGCTGAAATTTGATATGAGTAAACTAGGCTTAATGAAGAAGATGCTAAAAAAAATTCATCAAAAAATTCAACCGGGAACCGCCCCAATTGGCAACGACCGGGCAGAACCTCCTATATAAGGGGTTAATTGAACACTTTAAGTTGGTTCATGTACCTATTTGACCCTTTAGCCTTTTTCTTTTATAAAAATTTATTAAATTATATCCACAATCGGATCCTACGAACTTCAATATGTGAATCCAATGTTGATGGATTATATGGCCCAGGAACCCCTGGCCCACAGACTCCCACTTCTCCTACACAGGCCCATCAAACCCAACGTGCACACAAAGCCCCAATATGGCAGCCCAAGCGTGAAGAGGCCCATGGTACACATATAGGTGCCTTCGGCCCTATGGCCGAGGGCCCCAAAATCCACAGAGCAGCTAGGTTCCAAAATACAAAGTCACTGGGAGAAAAAGACAGAAAATAGGAGCCTTCGGCTAATAGACGCCTTTGGCACATGTGTAGCCTTCGGCTACACAGAGCCTTCGGGCGCAGAAGAGCCTTCGGCAACAGCACAATCAGCGAAGATTCCTTTTGGGGACAGGCAACCACCGCATTAATGCGGCGTCACGTCCAACCACCGCATTTAATGCGGTGCACATGCATATGCCGGTGCCACCCCGATTGAGGTGACCTTCGGCCGTTAGATTATTGACACGTGTATTCATATCACATTTATGACTGCTATAAATAGCAGCCCCTTTTCCCCCTGTAAACCGATCCCAACATATCGAGTTCATTTAGTGTATTTGACTCTCTCTCCTACTTGTTTGCTCTGACTTCTCTCTAAGTTATTCCCCGCAATAACCCCTCAGATAAGCTACCTCCGGGTAGACTATCCATCAAATGTAATATGGTAGTTTTGAAATATGGATTGATATGACATTTTAAAAATGAGCATAACATGAGTACCGATTGAGCATATGTAACTTACAAAATGAGAATTGATATGAAACTCATAAGTTTTTTGTTGAGTATCATGACAATTTTGTTGAGCATCAAACTTTCTATATTGAGTATTAGAAACATGCAATTGAATATCATGGTTCGTGATACAATATCTATAACCAACCCCTACATGAATCTAATGTAATTTGATACTTTTACAATGAACACAACATCAGTACCAAATGAGTCTACATAATTTACCAAATGAACAATTTTGAAATGAACACAAGTACACAACATCAGTACCTAATAAGCCTACATAATTTATCAAATGAACAATGATATAAAAATCATAAGTTTTGTTAGTTGAGCATCAAAACATTATCATTGAACATCAAACATTCTATATTGATTATCATAAACATTCAATTGAGTATATAATCTAACTATTATGTGAATCTATATGATAGTTCTGAAATATGAATTAAAATGGCATTTTAAAATGAGCATACCACAACACTAGATGAACATAAGTAACTTACAAAATGAGCATCGAAAAATTTGAAGGATCGTTGGAATTTTTTAATATGTAACAATTTATATAAAATCGAGAAACTGTCATTACACATATTGAATCATAGATTCGTTACTAACAATTTAATAAACTATCATTATATATAAAATTGAAATATATAAACGTTTTTTTTTAAATAATTTATAGTCTTTTTTCCCTGAATTACAAATATAATCATGTTGTTCTTACAATATTTACTCGTGCTGTCGTGCACATTTATTTTATACTATACTCATTTTAGTATAACACAAAGCTCATGTTAACACACAATATTTAATAAACTTAAAATATTCATCTTAAAATTAAAAATAGAAAAACAAAACATTAATACCTAAAATATTTTATAATGCACAAATT